GGTAAGTAGTGTGTGTGTGTGTGTGTGTGTGTGTGTGTGTGTGTGTGTGTGTGTGCGCGCGCGCGCGCGCGCGCGCGCGCGCACGATTTTATGTCCGCCGCAAGTTGCTGCAAGCAATATGTACGCTCGCTCGCTTGGCGGCCTCTCTACTCTCGCTCTTTCGCTGGATAATATTGAATTATTAAAGTCATAAATTATCAAAATACTTAAAATTTTTCTATCATTAATTCTTGCCTCGGTTATTCTATATCAGCTTAAGTACTAACAAAGTATCCAGTTACGAAAAGTACGTAGTGATCATTACGGTGGAAATTTCATGAAAATTAGATGTCGAAGAAATGTACCGCGGCAGCGGTGCGTCAGCGCGTGCTAAACGTGAGATATTAAATACATAATAATGAATTGAGAGTTACTTTGCGAGATAATCCGTATGTCATTTCAACTAATCTCGATTCCCGTGATTACTGGACCGTGGAGTCGATAGGCGCTATTTCAAATTAATTGCATTTACCGCGCATATTATATAATTACTACACCTATTATTAAATCACAATTGGGATATAATCGTCATTATTATTACCGACATATTTAATCTCGTTGATTAATCCGCTTTTAATATTTTTTTTTATTTCAAAGATTTCTATATACGTACGTGTATATCGAACAAAGATGCAATATCCACAATCGAAATATAACTCAATTATTTTTTATATTCGGCCTGAACAAAACTGCCTCTTCGGTTTCAATTCTAAAAACGAGACAAATAAATATTTCTGCATTATATTTCTGGTACCTCGTTACGATATGAAAAACATTTCGTAATTCGCAGAATTTTGAAAGCAGAAGCAGTGGCTGAGCTATAAACTTTGACCGCCAGATAAAACACCGCTCTACATTTCGTAGCAAACTCGATAACCGATATACGGAGCGTATAATAGAAGTACACGTACCGAAATGAAAAAGAGCAGCGATACGCAGGTTAATTAATTGGCTCAGCTAAATGGCAGCATCTCGTCCGCGCATTTATGTGTATACGTCAACAGCCAAACCGGAAGCAATCGAGTCAATCACCGGGAGTAAAACCACGCGCGGATTTATTCGTCCTCTTTGGCCCCCGGCTGTGCGCCCGCGTAAAGTTAACCGCGAGCGTATTCGCAAAATCCTGATAAATTGAATTTCAATTGCGAAAAGCGTATATGCGTGTTCCCAAAATGTAAATCTGGGACCGTGAGAAGCTTACCGCAGGGTGGATAAGCGAATAGTCCGCGCTTTCGCCGTCTCCGTACGCGTCGAGTTTATCAAAGCGAGCTTAATTTGCGAAGCATATTAAATCGTTTCTTTCCGTTTAACAATTCCGTTAACCTACATCGCAAATGAACAGAAATTTTTCTCCGCGATAAGAAAAAAATACGAATTTCGACAGTGAAATTTGGAAATTTTGCCACTGCAAAAGCCCTCCACGATTTTCCACGGGGCGGTATTTCAGGGGAACGCTCGCGTCAACAGCATGCTGGCGCGCCACGACAAACTCGTTACGGTATTAAGTACCCCCGGGAAATCTTTCTTTCGTGCCGCGTGCTTAACGAACGTTCTTAATGGAATTACCGCATCCGCGCCGCGCGGCAAGAATTTGCGGTTCGTTGCCCGTGGCATGTTAAATGGCAGGCCGGCAATTGAATTTAAAGTCGCCGAGCTGGGGTCAGTTTATCGCGCTGCTTACCTACGTGTCGAACTGGGATAATTTCTCCTGGGCTACATGGACGATACGATCATCTGTCTCAGTGGTCGGCATCCTGAAATCGGACATGAACGAATCATTTATCACTGACAAACGTGTTCACGTCGATTATAGTAAACCTAACGGTGTTCTTGTTGGAAGGCTCTCCGTTCAGCGTATAACGAATGCGCATCGTGATCGGATAAGTGAATATTTTATGTATTATTTTATTTTTTCACATATCAATTCTCGCACATCAATTCTCTCCATTTTGGAATTATCTACGATTCACGGAATTCCCGATCGCTTCCTTTGAGATCCTCTCGTTAATACCTAAGAGCAGTGTAACATCATCACCGCAAACGCCACTAAGGATCGTTTCCCATACATTACAACCGGCGTCTCATTCGCTTCCGTAGTTGAATCTCATCGTGTGAAAATTGAAAAAGTTCAAAGCGCTCGTCGCCGCCACCGGCGCGATGTTAAAGAGAACGAAAGAGAGGCTGAGAGGAGGAGGGGGGAGGGGAAAGCGGGCAAAAGGGAAACTGCGGCGCGCCGAGGTCGAGGATAGAGAGAAAAAGGGAGAAAGAGAAAGGGATGGCGCGGAAAAAGCGCGGGCGAGAGAAGCCGCGGGAGATATTGTTTCCGCGGTGCGCAGAGCGATTGCATTCGATTTTACGGGACGCGGCAACTCGCGCGGAACGAAATCTATTGTGCGAGAGGAGTTAAATCGTGTACCGTCGCGGATTTAATATGCGCGAGTGCCGCGACCGCCCGTGTTGCACCGCATACCGGCATGCCCGACATCGGCGCGGAGCGGCGCGGAGCGGAGCGACGCCGGTGTGCCGGTCAATTTTAATCGGGCCGCCGGCCCTCGAAGCGAAAGCGAGGTCCGCCCGAAGTTCCGCGTTTACATTAAAGCCAACCGGATGTTATCCACCGCTAAGACGCGCCCTCGGCGGTTCATTTTTAACTCGTAAATGCTTGCGCCGCGAACCGCGCCGAGATAAAGAAGCTACTTTGTTTTCCTTTACGCAGAAATTATACGAGATATCGTTGTACTACTTCACGCGCAGTTTTCCTCCGTGAGCTTGTATAATCTTACTAGTTTATGTTTAAAAGTGCAGATGTTTCATAGGCTGTAAAAAAA